AATATTCTGTCCTACAATGCGGTTAGATGTGCCATTTTTTTTTTGAGCACCTGCACTTTTAGTGGTCTCTGCACGGCCCTGGATGAAGGTGCCAGTTTGACCCTGTTACAAAGACAATAAGAAACATTTGAAAAGTTTTGAAACACATTGAAAAATTAAATCATGTTATTTAGCTCTCAGACCTAGTTGTAGGTCTGAAATCAGACACCGAAACCATATAGTTCCACATGTATGCTTGCAGTTACATTAATAAGGAGACACTAATGAATATTCATGAACAGAGGGGCCTGCAGAATATTATCGGAGGGTACGCGCAATACCTTGCACAACCACATTCCCAACACCATATGTGCATTGTGTGTATGTCGCAACAAAACAGCGCACACATACACCACACAAATACTCAGACATACTCCACAAAAAACAGTAGATCTAATCCGTGTTTTTTTTCTTACAAATTATACTAACTAATAAAGACAGGAAAGTAAAGCCTATCCGTGTGATCCACAGGTGGAGGATGGAGATTCCCAGGTTCAGGTGGTGTGTCAGACTTCCGGAGGAGGAGGAGGGGAAACAACAATATTTGTTTAATTTCTACTATTTTTGGCAAAATTTCGACTAGATTTAACTGTTTAACCCTCCTGCAGTCTTGCAACACTCAGGAAGAACGCGGAAGATGTCATGGTCAGCCAACCAAAACAATTACTGTTAAGACTGGTGACTCAGAACCACGCACACAGTAAAAAGCTCAAGTGGCGTTCATTTGACTCCTCTTGGAACTACGGGAGGATTAAAACTCTACTAATTAATTTTTAGTGATCTTCAGTTGTCACATTTAGAGTACAGAAAGAGCGCCAAACCACCAATAAGCAAAAGTGAGCTGGCCAATAACATTAACATTTAGGACATACATGTGGCACCCTACACAGACATATGTGGGCTACCAACAGGATGTTTTGACACAAAATACAATTTTTGTCTCCACAATTTGTTAACGGTAAACAGGGTTAGATAATAAAAAAATCTAGTAATTTTTTTTCTTACTTAAAGAAAAATCTCAAGGTATGCACAGTGCGTACAGCTGTACATCTGCAGGTGCTACTGTTCATGAATATTAATGTTGACATATACAGTATAATCACAAGCTGCAGTATAGGTGCAAAACAATGCAGCTATTTTTCAATAAACACAGTTAAGATAAAAGTAATATTGCCAAAGTTACTGAAAAAGTGCTCAGAGTAGAATTAAATTCTGGTGGACAGTTGAAAAGGGGCAACTGTCCTAACCCTAACCCACTCATGCAAAAGGGGTGAGGTGGACCGCACCACTGCTTGTGACTTGTAGATGTTTTTGTGTCAACACATTATATACAGTCAGTAATGATATTTACAGATGAGTAAGAAAATGTACACAAAGGAATCACAACCCATTGTCCTCAACATATGGCGCTTAATGTAAAACATGATAAACACCTGCCCAATAATAAAATTCTCTCAGTCAGAGATCAAAGAGGAGAATGAGAGGCGGAATGGATGCAACAAATTGCATATATTGTTTCAGCATTGATTACCATCCATCCATCCATCGTCTTCTGCTTATCTGGGGTCGGGTCGCGGCTTCAGAAGGGAGGCCTAGACTTCCCTCTCCCCAGCCACTTGTTCCAGCTAACCCAGCCGAGAAACATAGTCCCTCCAGCGTATCCTGGGTCTTCCTCGGGGCCTCCTCCTGGTGGGATGTGCTCGGAACACCTCACCAGGGAGGCGTCCAGGAGGCATCCTGACCAGATGCCCGAGCCACCTCAAGCCACCCTCTCTGAGGGTAGGAACGTAGATCGACCGGTAAATCGAGAGCTTCACTTTTAGACTCAGCTCTCTCTTCACCACAACGGACTGGTACAGCATCCACTTCACTGCAGATGCTGCTCCAATCCATCTGTCGATCTCCCGCCCCCTTCTTGATTGATCTTGATTACCAGTGTTTCCCAATCCTGGTCCTTAAGGCACACTGACCTGAATGTTTTAGATGTTCCCCTACTTCAACACACATCATTCAGATGATTGCAATTCAGCAAAACCCTGTTAATCAGCCACCAATTTAAATCTTGTGTGCTGAAGCAGGGGAATGCCTAAAACTTGAAGTTGCATTGAAAGTCCACTAAAAATGCCAACTTTGCATTAAATTGTCATTATTTACAAAATAATGCAAAGTTGGCACTTTTAGTGGACTCAGTGCAACTTTTAGAGCAACTTTGCATTAAAAGTGTCATTATTCACTGAATGACACTTCATGACAACTGTCATAAACATTAATAAAGAGTTCTTGATGCTCATGACAGCTGTTATGTCATGTTTATGACAGTGTCATGTCAGTTTTATGCACACCCCTTCAAATAAAGTGTTACCCAACATGGATTCAATGACATTTTTTAACTTTGGTTAATTGGCTAGAATGGGATGATTGTTTGATGGTTGATCCACCATCACTTATTGACTTTAACCAAAAATCAACCTTTTTAACCGTAATTCAACATTCAATTAACATCTCTTGCTAACTGCTTTAAAAGAAACAGAAAATAAATGTATTGTCCCACATTGTTTAAATTCCAGTGTAATGCTACACACACCTGCTGGCAATCAAAGCCAGAAGGTTCACACGAAGTCAGAAGAATGAACTACTGTACAGAAAGGGAAGAATTTCAACATAAATTCTGAGCACTTATTAAAAATAGCAAAAGACAGCAAACAAGTGGCCAAAACTTGTTTGCACATAAAAATGTGCTATGTGCTTCGGGCACATTATGATAATTTTTTTCTATGTATTCTTTGTTTTTTTATAGACTTTAGTTGAATGACCTTTTGTTAAAATATTTTGGAGTTTAGATAATTTCTTATTTTTGGTAATTAATTCGATTACGTTAATTTGTGGCGGTGTTGGTCCGCCTGTAAATAGGCTGGATTTCGACATGTTAGGGAGATCCGCCCTTCCACTCCCTTCCGCTTGCTCCACCACCACTGGTGGTCTTGACGTCTTGACGCGGTGCGCGCACGTCCAGTCGCTGTAGGCCGCAGCTGACGTCTCCAGCCTGCCATGCGTTATTTCTGTTAGCCTTTGTTTGTTTGCTATTCGATAAAAGACGGACAGCCAGTGTAAAGAGGCCAGTGTAGGCCTTATATGGTCATGCTTCCTGGTTCCTGTAAGAAGCCGTGCTGCTGCGTTCTGGATCATTTGAAGTAGCTGCATCTGTGATTTAGCCATGCCTCTACATAATGAATTGCAATAATCCAAACGAGTTGTAATGAAGGCATGGATAAGTCCTTCAAAGTCCTTAAAACAAAAATAAGATTTAACTTTTGCTAAAATCCGCAGGTGATAAAAAATTTATTTAACGACAAAGCTAATTTGTTTATCTAGCTTTAAAGAGCTATCAAAAGTGAAACCAAGATTAATAGCAGAGGTCTGACAAAACCGAGCTAAAGAACCAACAATCAGATCTGGATTTGTAGTCTGAAGTCTGTGACCAAATAATATTAGTATAACATTAATAAAACAGACTTAGTCCTTTCAGTATTTCAGTCACCTACAGGTTGAACTGACAGGAAGAGTAACAAACTAACTGCATAAAGGTACATCCAGACTAAAGCAAATGTAAAAATACAATTTAAACTGGTTTGTTTGCTGTATAGATCACATCAGTGGTGCAGCTGATCCCAGTTAGAAGCAACCAAAGAAAAATAAAATCTCTCTGTTTTTTAAATCTGTGCAGGCACCAAAAAGCATACATTGCCGCTCAGGGACCACTGGCACAAACTACTGAGGACTTGTGGAGAATGTTGTGGGAACACAACTCCACAATTGTAATCATGTTAACCAAACTGCGCGAGATGGGACAGGTAAATCACAACTATCATGTCCATAAGGTAGAAGGGAGAAACATTGTACCCTTGCATGATTCCAAAGTGACAAAAGGTCTAGATCTAGAAATACTACACTTTCAAGGTGCTAATTCAGGGTAAAATCATCAGTAGTACCCAGGGAAAACAAAATGGCCACATTAACTTCTGTAATGTGAGGGTTTCTTACTCCTCTCATTATTACTAATTTCTGTATTTTTCCTTTTGATTGTGTAGGAAAAGTGCCATCAGTACTGGCCAGTGGCGCGTTCTACTCGATACCAGTACTTGGTTGTTGATCCAGTGGCTCAGTACAACATGCCTCAGTACATACTGAGAGAATTTAAAGTCACAGACGCCAGAGTAAGCCCTCACCGATAATTTTTTTTTCTTTGATGAAGCAACAGTGGAAAGTCACAGAAATCAGAACCATGTAGTTTGGTTTATAATTCAATAATTATAATTTCTAAAGTACAGTTTGACCAATATCCAATTCATTTCTTTGCATTTTGACATGAGTTTAAAATTCACCCAAGAATTTTAAGTGGTTCACATTCTTAAGAATGTAAAACACATTTATAAGTGTGACATTATTTTAACATTTGTTTCAACTATGTTTTTAACACAAACATAGTAATTCCCTGTGTTTAGGAACTGTGGAATGATTGATATTAATTTTATGGTTAACTCTAAAGCAATTTTCTCATATGATAGTCAGTGTTGTCATCCTCAGTATTATCATTAATTTTTTTTCAGTACACGTTTTAAATATTAATTCTAAATAAAAGTGGTCCTAAAACTGATTTTTGTAGCACTCCTAATGTAGCTTTTTCAAAATGGAGCAAGTACCCACCTCACACATGACACATGTGTGAGATATCTGGGTGAGAGATCTCACATATAATGTGTTTATCATTTAAGAAAGATTTATTCCACTTTTTTATCTGCATAAAACATCATTCTGTAATTTGCAAACTGTTAGATATTTAAGAATGTTCCACAACCAATGACAGTGATGAATATGTTAAGTTAACACTAACAGTACTAATGTCACTTAAAGTACAGCTGTTTTCTGTATGGATTTTCATTTTCCTGTGCCTCCATTAGGATGGTCAGTCAAGGACCATCAGGCAGTTTCAGTACACTCACTGGCCAGAGCAAGGAGTGCCCAAAACTGGAGAAGACTTCATCAACTTTATTGGTCAAGTCCATAAAACTAAAGAACAGTTTGGACAGGATGGACCAATCACTGTACATTGCAGGTAAAGTGTAAAATGTGTTCTTTGTTGTTCTCATAGTTCAAAACAACATGGGTCCGCAGCCGGTGTCACCGTCACTGTTCCCTTGCAGAAGTAGAGCTGTCTTCCAACAAGCAAACTGTTATTATGGCAGACTAACAATCAATCAATCAAATTTTATTTGTATAGCACATTTCAGCAACAAGGCATTTCAAAGGGGACTCCAACCCGCACTCCTTTTAAAACATTGGGGGTACTCCAACCCGCACCCTACCCTACATCATTACAGCTTAAGGGTGAGGAAGAAGAGTAGATTTGATTAAATGTTTCTGCTGTGTTTTCTGTGAAAGAACATTTTGTGACAGTAGCTGTTTGTCCAAGTGGGTTATCAGATAAAGAACTTTCAAAGATAACAAGAAGTGATCCAACAGGGTAACATCAGTTACAGACACAATGGAAATATTCACACCCTTATCGATAACCAGGTCCAGTGTGTGACCTCAAGTGTTAAGAAGATGATTTTCTGTAATGTTGCAATTCTGGTGTGTGTCCTTTGTCTGTGAAATGTTTGTTACCTTGTGGGTGTGTCCTTTTAGCAGGAACCCTGCTAAGGAGCAGGCCCGCCTCAAACCCAGCTCTTTTATAGGGGCTGGTTTTGTGGCGGGCCTGCTCCTTAGCTGGCTGGAGTTTGATTGGCTGGGGATAAATTGAGAAGGTGGGGATAACCAGTGTATAGGTTGACTGCTGGCTGTAGCAGAGACTGTCTGATGGGAAAACTGTCATTTTTAACTGTGCTATGATGCTGGAGGCCTAACAAACCAGCTTTGATTATTGTACAGCCAAGTTTGCTGATTTTTTTTTTCTTCCACTCCTCACCACACCTCTGTGTAAAATCGAGTATGTGTTGCTTATTTGACATGTTGTGTTAGACCAAAATTCTCTAATATATTAGAGCTCTTTTTGCCCCTTTGTCTTGGGGCTTGTCGACATGACAAGCCCCAACATTATAACACAAACCAACATTATAACACAAAGCTTCAAGTCTTCATCAGATAACTAAGTTCTGATTTTTTTTTTTTTTTCTTGACTTGCTCAATACCAACATATTTGCTGGCTTTCAATAATGTTTCACAAGCAACATTTACCAGGTGGGTGTATCCTCACTATTACCACTGTGATGATCTTAGTAATATATAATGTATGTCCATCAGCGCCGGGGTCGGACGGACTGGAGTATTCATCACTTTGAGTATCGTGTTGGAGAGGATGAGGTACGAAGGCGTGGTTGATATCTTTCAGACAGTCAAGATTCTCCAAACTCAAAGGCCAGCCATGGTTCAGACAAAGGTATTGCTTTGTTAATGTCCTGGTGACATGTCAACAATAGTACATATGTTGTGGTATTATCATTTATAAGGAAACTAAGATAACTTCCATTACTTGAAAGGTAATGGAATGTGGGGCAAAATACAGTGCATCTGGAAAGTATCCACAGCACTTCAATTTTTTCAAATTTTTTCATGAGGCATCTTGAAACATGAATAATTTAATACAATTTATCCCAAATTGTATGAAATAATCTCTTTCCTCAAAATTTTACACAGATATAGTAATCATCATAGCAATGTGGGGAAAACAATGCTATTTTTTTGCAAATTTATTGAAAAAGAAACAAGAAATCACATTTATGTAAGTATTCACACAATTTGGCAGCAATTCCAGGTTGAAATATTTTTGAATATGATGCCACAAGCTTAGCTCACCTATATTTAGGCAGTGTGGCCCATTCTTCTGTTCAGTTCTTCTCTAGCGCCATCAGATTGGATGGAGACATCTGTCAGCCATTTTCAGATCTTTGCAGAGATATTCAGTCAGATTCAAGTCTGGATTCTGGATTGGTCAGAGTTGATTTTTAAAATAGTAGAGAAGCTGGTTCTCGACCAGCCCCAAGCAAAGTGTCTTAATCTTTGGTTTGCTTCCATGACCATAAGATTATGAGTAAACAACTGATATAAACCTCCTTATTAGCCATCTTACAAGTTTGGGAAAACTGAAATATGTTCTGTGGATATCTGTTGTAAAATAGAATTTATTTTTACAAGCACAGTTGCTCGGTTTCTATTTAGCTCACCAAAATACTTCAAAATTTTCTGCATCTCTGTGTATACATTTCAATGCCAGTGAATTAATTTTACCCTTTATTTATTGCCCTAATAATTTCTTTGCTTTTGTTGATCTCTTCATTTTTGTCTGTAGGAGCAGTACCACATGTGCTACAAGGCAGCTTTGGAGTACCTGGGAAGTTTTGACATCTACGGAATGCAACCTGTCCTATAAACACACTCAAAGTCATTGCCATAAACAGTCATTGCACCAATGCCTTCCCAAATACAACCCTGAATCCCCATTTAGTCTTCCTACATATACAGAATATATATTTGTTTACAATCATTATTAACCTTCCTGAGATAAAACCTAAAGAAAGCCTAAAAGAAACAGTGGATATAGTGCTTGTTTATTTTCAATTGTGCGAGACAAATTACTGGATAAAAGAATGAGAAGTTAGTTATTTTGAGGAATGTTAGGATGCATTCAGACCAGATAGTCCGGTAGACTCGGTTCGATTGGGGACTAAAATTGCAACATTTGTTACATTTTCAGAACTCTAGTCTGCATTCATACCTCACTATATCAAATGACTAAAACTAACTGAAAAACCTATTCACCCGTTGCCTGTGGGGACGCTGCACCAAGATCTACTAAAGAAATCGACACAAAACCTCTGAAGAAGACCAACGCAATTCCCTTCTTCACAAAAAGTAAACAAAAACGGAGCAGTT